CCTCCTTTCCCTCCTCCCCTTCCTTGGGCACCCTCCCCCATCCTGGTCAAGGCTAACTAGCCGTGGCATGGCCACCTGGAGGAGCCCTATGAAACCAGCCGCCAGGGACAATGAGAAGCTGGGTGGCGCAGTAGGCCCCCTGTGTGTGTCCCCAAACTCCAGGGCTGCGGTCAAGTGTGGTCACTTTTCTTTCCCCTAGTTAACGCCCCTGTCTCTCTCAGAGCCCTGGAGCCCTTCTTCCTGGCTCCCGGGTGGTTATTAGGGTGGTGACGAAGGGTGGTGACGATGGCCGGTGAGCAGTGTCCTTCTGGGCCACTGGCGTCACCCACTTTGCAGAACAGGCGAAGGAGGCCCCGAGGCAGGTCAACTTGCCCAAAGCCACACAGGTGAGTCCCGCCCGGGGGCTCCCAGACGTGGTCCCCCGGATGGTGGAGTTCAGCCCCTCTAGGCGCTGCCTACCTCCACGGGGTCGTTGCCGTTGGAGAGGATGTCCAGCAGGTCGGCCGAGGAGACAAAGTAGAACCGCGGGAAAGCCAGCCTTTTGGTCTCCAGGTACTCTGCCAACGCCTTCTCACACATGGCCAAGCTAGAGGAGCGGGGACGAGGCTGGCGAGCGCCACTCGTCGGGTGCCACCTGCCCACGCCGCGGCAGCTGGACCCATCCTGGAGCCGTGCAGCCTGTGGCTCTTGCGTCCCTGCCGGCCGACCTCGGCCTGCCCAGGCAGGAGGGCACCACCCCATCGCATGGCCGGGGCTCCCCTGGTGAAGGTGCTCACAACCCGTGGCTCTGCACCATCCCGACCGGGGCCTCTGCCACCAGTGCCCCTGGTCTGGCCGCCTGGGGACCCACCTCTTCTTCAGTGCCTCGAGTTTCTCGTAGAGACCTGGCTTGTTGGTGGCTTCCACCACGTTGGGAGTCTTCACGGCGTCCTCCATCAAGGCCTGGGGGGAGCAGGGACCAAGCCAGGTGTCAGGAGCCCCGCGTGGCCCAGGCAGCGGCTCCTGGGGTGCCCTGCAGCGGCCAGGCTGGGCTCACCTTGAATTCCTTGTCGATGTCGTCGAAGCGCTGGGAGTCCTCTGGGAGCTGGGCCCGGATGTCTTCCGAGCCTATGAAGATGCTCTCCAGGTGGCTCCAGGTCCTTTGGACCTCAAACCAGATGGAGATGACCGAGTCTGCCATGGACAGCTTCTGCTGCCAGCTGGTCACCTCCTTGAGGAAGTGCGACAGGTACTTGGACATCATCAGGTTCTGCAGCTGCACCTGGTTGTCCTCCAGCGTCTCCACCAGCACCTCGTCCGCCTTGAGCATCATGGTGCCCGTGCGCGGGTGCGGCTCGTGCTCGAATTCCATGGTGGTCCACGTGCTGTCCAGGGCTCTCAGCACCTTTCAGGGACAAAGGGCACTGAGCGTGTGGCACGCAGGGCCAGGGGAGGACTCACGGTTCCCAGGCCACGGCATGAGGCCAGGGCGTCTGTGGTCAAGCCATTCACAGTCGCCATGGGGAGGGAGCACCCAGAGGCCCCCGCCTGCCCCTGATGAAGGGACACACCTGGGTGTCACTCTGCCTTAGGTGGGGAGGAGGAGGTGGACCTGAGTGAGGGAGGCTGGGCACAAGAGGCCACCCATGGTGAGTATGAGGACCCCACGTCCAAGGGACGCCCCTCTGGCACATGGGTGATTTTGATTTAGAAACGCGTTAAAACAGGGGGTGCAAGGTCACGCTGACCTTCCCTGTGCTCCTTAAGAGCAGGAGACGAATGCCCAGGTGGAGGGTCCTCCCTGCCTCGTGCCCACTCGACATTTCTGTCATGCCCGGGTGAGAGAGGGCTCCTGGACGCCCCTCTGGAGCTGGCATGAGCCGGTCAGCGCCGGCTGCCAGGCAGAACCGGCGCCGCGGCAATGGCTGCCCACCTTCTCCATGCCGGACTCCTTCACGGCCTTGTCCACGATGTTGCGGACCTCATCCTCATAATTGTGCAGGTTCAGCTGCAGGAGGTCGGCCAGGGTCGTCTCTTCCGACATCTCGAACTTCACCTAGGGAAAAGCAGCCGTGCTCCGCCAGGGGTCGCGCCCTCCAGCAGCAGGAGGGACGCAGCGGACATGCTTTGCTCGGCCCCCCTGCCCCTCGAGGCGCCAAGTCCCGCCTTCTTTCCCTGTGGAAGCATGTGACAGCAGAGTGCACCTAGGACTCTGAGTGTGACCTTGTCTGGAAACAGGGTGTTTGTGGGTGACGAGGATCCTGGGGCCCTGAGGGAGCTGTTCGCCTGCTCCCCGAGCCCTGTGGACATGCATCCTACCACGAGGATGGCTGCAATATTTGCAGGGCCCAGTGCAGAACAGACCCTCGGAGCCCGCTGTTGGAAAACCACTGACTTTCAAGATGCTGAGAGCAGAGAGTGAATGCTGGTGTGGCCGCTCTGAGTGCAGGGTCCCCAGGACTGCAGGACGCCGCCCTTCCCACAGCTGACCTCAGCAGCATCAGTCCCCAACCCCTCAGCCAAGCAGCTCAGGCCAGCCCGTCCTGCAGCAGGCCAGCTGCCAGGGGCCGTCCCTCCACCCCATGGCGACAGTGGTACCTGGGTGGCCTGCATGAGCTGCTGCCAGTGGCGGTCGCGGATGGCGGGGTTCTGCAGCTCGCTCACGGCGCGCAGGGACGTGATGGTGTTTTTCACGGTGTTGTCCAGCCCCACGAAGGCATCCCAGGTTTTCATCTCCTTGTCCAGAGACCTGATGTCCTTGGCAAACTTCTTGCAGTCGATGTCCATCTGCTCCACGTTGATGTCTTTCCACTTGGTGGTCTTCCAGTCGTCCAGGCAGGTGTTCACCTGCAATGGGAGCCTGGCTTCAGCTCCTCTCTCGAGGGACGCCCGGGGGCACCTCCGTCACCTCCCTGCACTTGCTGTTAGGGAGCAAATTCCAGCAAAGGTTTTTGTTTTTTTTTTCCTGTCTTGAAGTGCTGAGGATCGAACCAAGGGCCCTGCATCTGCCACAGAGCTGCGTCCGCAGGCTCCAGTAAGGAAAGCTTAGAACTAAAACCAGAGTTTGGGAAAGTGGTTAGATGCAAAAAAACAAAACAAAACAAAAAGGATACAACAGTTACTAATAGGGCATTATGTAAAAATGTGGATGTGTAACTGATGTGATTCTGCAATCTGCATTTGGGGTAAAATTGGGAGTTCATAACCCACTTCAATCTAATGTATGAACTATGATATGTCAAGAGCTTTGTAATGTTGTGAACAACCAATAAACAAAACAAAACAAAACAAAAGACCCCACCCAGTCATATCATAAAAGCTGAAATTTAAAAGTTGGTCATTAGAATGTATTTTGGCAAAAACCTGTGTTGGGGCCTTGCGACTGCTGAACGTGATCCAGCTTCCTCTTACTTCTGAGAAGGACCATGTAACTTGCCTTGGCCAGGAAATGTGAGCCGTCCTGAACTTGGCTTGGCGTTCTCTGCCTGCCTTGGCCGTCACCAAAGTGCACCATTGATTCACAGCCTGGAATTTGGAGCCAGCTGGCCCTTGACAGACAGCTGCCCCAGGGACAGCTGCTTGGAATGAGGGTGTGGAGTTCACATGAATGAGAATGTACTTTTGTTGTTTGTAGGGCTGTTTGTTACTGCACAGTAACCTAGCCTATACTAACTGATGAAAATATCTTAGAAGAAAGTTCATTCTTGACAATATGAAACAAAATAAGTAAAACCACCTGAAGAAAGCCCTACCAAGAGGGTTAACAGAAGATTATGAACCCTGCATTCTGAAACTTGGGGAGGGTTGAAGTTGATTACGAAGCTGGAAACCACCAGTCAGTGGAATTAGAGATCGTTCTCATGGGTGCCTGAGGCGGGAAGGCCAGGCTTGCCCCGCATCCATGTTCCTTGAAGGTCAAACTGGGAGTGTCTGCAAGATGCTTGCCCTGAAGGCACCAAGTGCCAGCCCTCCCTCCACCCAGCGGGTTCAGGCTAGCGCCGTATCCTGTGACCCCGCGACGTCCTGGCTCATTCTTTCTGGAGAACCCGTTAATATTTACAGTCGTCTCCTGGAGAACGCCCCTCTGCTCTCTCCCTGGGCTGGAGGGCTTCATGATGGGACAGGGCAGTGTCCCTTTCTCGCTGGCCGCAGCCGCTCACGAGGAAGAGGCTCGAGGTCACTTAGTGGTGAAGGAGGGTCAAGGGGCCTGGATTTGCACCCTCCCTTTAGGCCTGATGGCCACAAAGCCCCTGACTCCAAGGACCCTCCTGCATGAGGAGAATGGAGGCGCCTGCGACCGTCGACTGTGGTGTTTGTCAAAAAGGAAAGAAAGGAAGAGGCAGAGCAGGAGAGGGGTCTCGCCACGGGGTTGGCAGAGTTGGCCCATCTCCTGTCCAGCCGCCTGTCGGAGGAGCGGAGGGTTTGGTGACTGATTCTAAAGGTCATCAGAAGGATGAGAGGAGAGCTCCCATACTTGTGAAAACAGATGAGCAAAGAGGAGAGAGAATGGCGGAAGCCCACGGGCACACACACGCGGAGAACACGGAGAACGCGTGGGCTAAGAGGCCTCCAGCCGGGCCGACTCCCTCGCCTGCTGAGTCTCGCCTCACCGCGGCCTTCCTGCTGCCCATCAGCCCACAGAGCTGCCACAGGAGATCCCACCTGGACCTGCTCCTGTGGCGGGTTTCCAGGCTCCTGCATGGCCTCTCCCCCCCCAGTACCACCCCTCCCCAGCCGCACTAAATCCCGGCTCCCCTGCATCCCATGAAAAAGGCTGTTCATGGTTTTTAACAAGTTGCCCGTTTCCCCAGTTCCCCCAAGATGGAGCATCCCTGCGGGTTCCCTTCCCGTCAGAGAGCTGAGAGCCCCCGGGCGTGCCAGGGCAGATAAGCAGCGATCCCAGGCCACGAGAGGGCAGGCCACTTCCCCGGCCGCTCTGGGGCACGAGACCCAGAGAGCAGACAGGCAGCTTGTCAGCGGGGAGGGGGGTGAGAGAAAGGGTGGGGGACTTTACTGGAGTTTAGTGCGGGGAGCTCAAGGAGGGCTGGGGACGCAGGAAATCGCACACAACCCAGTAGGGAAGAAGTCCCCATGCCACCTCCCTCCTGTGTGGCAGAGTGGCCCTGAGGGGTAAGGGAGTTAAAGGAACCACGCTGCTGGGAGGACTGAGGCACGTCTGGGGACAGACGCCTAGAGAGGAAGCACTCGCCTGGCTCTAGATCGACTATAGACTAAGTCCTACAACCTCATGAATCGACACAGAAAGCACATTTGACAAGATGCAGGACCTATTCATGATGAACACTGAAAATAACAGGGACAGAGAAGAACTTTCACGACTTAGAGAATTACAGCTAACGCCACACACAATAGTAACGTGCTTTCCCTGGGGCTGGGGATTATGCAAGAATGTTTGAACCCAGCACTCTTATGCAACACAGCACAGGAAGCTCCAGACACCACAAAAAGGCAAGAAAAAGAAATAGGAAGCCATGAAAATTGGAAAAGAAAACCAACCTGTCCCTAGGTGCAGACGACATTATTGTCTATGTAGAAAATCCCTAAGGGATCTACCCAAACCCCTAGAACTGCAAAGTGAGTTCAGTAAGTTCCCAAGGTGAAGACAAACACAAGGCTTCATCCCGTTTGCATAGGCCAGATCAAAGAAGAGGGAGCAGACACTGAGGACACAGCGCCACTCACAGTCCCTTCAAAGAGAACATGAACACTGAGGTGTACACGTGACAGGACGTGTAGAGGGTCTCCGTGTCACAACCACAGAATGCAGATTAAAGAAATGAAACAGGAGCCAAATACATGGAGAGACATACCATGTTCAGGGACGGGGAGGCTCGGCACAGCCGACTGACTCCAAAGTTTCCTGGAATATTGAACAGCCTTGGCACAGAAAGTCAAGTGGGAGGACTTCCTCTGCCTGGTACCAAGCCTGGCCGGACGGGCACAGTGGTCAACCCTGGGTGGTGTGCCAAGGAACAGGCATGAAGATCAGCACGACAGAACAGAGACCCCGTCAACAGCCCCACTCCAATCCGCCCAGCTGAGTCAGGACAGAGCTGCGAGCCAGCTCAGGGGAGGGAGGACCCACAGCCTTCACCAACAGTCCTGGGGCTCCAACCCGTCCGCATGCCAGCCTGTGAGGGTCCACCTACACCTGGGGCTCCAACCTAAGTGTAAGACGACAACTTCTTGGAAGAAGTCACAGGAGAACGCCTTTGGGGTGGAGGCAACGAATCAACCTATTGATCACCGAAGGCACGATCCGCGAAGGGAAAGGCTGATAAAATAGGTTTTGTCACAGTCAAAAGCTTCTGCCCTGGGACAGGCCATTGAGAGGGTGAAGAGGTGAGCAAACCACACATCCGACCCACGGCCAGTTTCTAGATTACACAAAAGCTCTCAAAACTCAACAGAAAAAGACAAGGACAAAAAGGTCCAGTTACAAAGTGGGAAAACGGATGGCAGCTCATTGCAGAGAGGGCAGAGACGGCAGTGAGCACACGCAGGTGGAAGCCACAGGTCTTTCCAATAGACCTGGCGTGCCAGGATCAGGATGTCTGTGTCCCGCCGCCCCAAACCCCAGGTTCAAGTGTTCAGACCTCAGGCCGAGGCCATGGTGGGTGGGCTAACCACAGGGGGCAGCCCTCCTGAGTGGGATGAGTGTCCTGAGGAAGGACTCCTGAGAGACCTGGCCTCTTGCACCGTGCCGTGACAGTGTGCCATCTATGAGCCAGGAAGCCACCCTCACCAGACACTGAAGCTGCCCTGACCTTGGACTTCCCAGCCTCTGACCAGGAAGGACTAACTGTTGTGCACGAGCACAGCATTCCACCTGGTGTGTGGCCGCTACAGCTTGAATGGACCAAGACATGCAGTGTTCCTTACCTTTACACCGTGTGAGACGTGAGAGATGTGAGGGAGAATGAGAGG